GTCAGTTTGATAAAGCTAGTGTGGATCGTGGTTCACAGTTTAAAGTGGAGTGCTCATGTGCGTTGACTAAATATTAGACCTATTCGAATTCAATTCCCATCAAAATTAATTTAATTTAATCAATTTTATGTTATTTGATTTTTATAATTTGTATTTGAATTTTTATGAATCTTATAATATTTTAATTTTGTCATTTTAATGAATAAATAAAGATAATTTCATTTCTAAATATTTAAATAAACCAAGAGGTTTAAAAAAATATAAACATCAAATTTTTTATTGTTTATAAAATATGTGGGACCCTCCATAATTATTAAAAGGCCCATTTAAATCACATGGGGGAATTGGGTGGGGCTCATGAGTGCTACCAAATAGTGGCATGCCCCACACATAGGGGATTGCCTTTTCTGCTAAATATAGTGAGATGCATCTCATACTAGTTAGCTTTCATTATGTGGAGATAAGCCTAATTGCAATAAAGGATTGAAATATGTGGTTTTAGAAAATATTGAGAATCAATAATGTTTGATTGAGAATTTACTATTAGATAAAGTAGAAAAATATTATTTTTATTAAACTTATTTGATGGGAATATGTTTAGGAACGAGAGGACAATAATGTTATAGTACATTCCTTAACATCTTGATGATGGATATAGGGAATAGATGATTCACATCTCACCCTGCAAATCTCCTTACACGAATGGTCAAGATTTCTCCTACGATTTTATGGCAAACCCTAATGTATGAAAAATCTATAAAATTGATCATTATCCTCCCTTGTATCTACACCTCGTACTTATTCGATATTCTCCCTTTAAAATATAATATCTCTCTCTAGCCTCTCTAAGGGGCATGCCCCGCATAGGTTACTCTCTCTCTCTTCAAGAAACCTAAGGGGCCATGCCCCACCTTAGCTTACCCCCCTCTCTCTTTCACACTCACAAACTATCATAAAGGGCACGCCCAAACTAGGTTAGGTTAAGCTTGAATATTTCTCATGGGTTATAAATCAAGCTAGGTTTTGGTTATGTAATTTTGTGGGCAGCAAATAGATCATCCCTAGCTAGTAGTTTTCTCCCTCATTTCTCGATTTATATCTCTCATAAAGCTAAAGCCAAGTGATTTGAATTACGGCTAAGCATTGAGACTTTGCGTGGGTGGTTTTAGATTGAGATCCATATGCATTTGTTTGGGTTTTGCCATAAGAAGGATAAATTAAAAGACCAATCAAAGAACATGATCTCAATCGGAAGAAGGAGACTCAGAGTAGCCTGTACTAGGCCCGGTTGAGGTAATATCCAATGTCCTCTTTTATTTATTTCATATTTATTTATTGTGTATTTTATTCCCAAGCTTAGGTTGTGTATTTTATTTGTTATTGAAATTAAAGTTTTGAATGGCTTCAAGTTCTTGAGATCATATTATATTGTTTTTTTTTATATTTAAATTTATTATATTGTAAAAAGACTACATGTAAGTGATCTAAACCGTGAAAAAAGAAAAAATAATTGAAAAAATAAAATAAAAATATTAAACACTCTGTCTAGATCACACGAGGTCTTCTTACAATTTATATCATTATTTATTGGCTTGGTGGTTGGGGCACAATACAATGGTAACAACACCGGTCTAATAACTTACTAATCCAAAGTTATTTTGATGGTGCGTTTGGACTGTGTTTGTAGGCCCCAATTTGGAAAAAGTTTATATAAGGGCGAGACCCTAAACAATCAAATTAAAGTCCACCTCAAATATTTAACAACAAGAGGTTGTTTTAATATTATAAAATATTTAAATTGTTCATCTTGACCTTAACATGCGAGGACATGAGGAAAAATGGATTTTAAGTCATAAAAATAGTGCATCTTGTGATGTATTTTTCAGACCATCAATTTTAAAGTGTTCCTAAATATACTTGATCCATACTATTTTTCAAGGTTTAAATTTTATAATTAGAGATGAAAATAAAAATTAAGACCATCACAGATTCACAGTATTGAAATAACATTCAATACTATTTGAAGGTGTGCCTTATTTTGATTGTTTAAGGTATCATCTTTATACAAACGACTCCCTTTGTACTTTGGACAATTTTTTTGAACTACACTTAATTTTTAACTATTTAAATTTTTACCATGGTTTTTTTTTTTTTTTCAATTTAAAGTGGTCCATCATTTTTTGCAGCAAAGCCCATCGAAGGACGCATAGACAAGGGTTTGAATTTATCAAATTACACACAAGACAAATTATTAAAAGGTGTGGTTCGTATAAGGTGCCCACTTTAAACCATTAAAGTACCATGCACTTCCAAAACCCATTGGAAATTACACTTCTAATGTCAAAAACTTTTTATAATGGCTTTTGTAAAGCTTTTTTCTAACTAATTGGGGTCGGCTGCCTCTGTTTCAACCCGTAATTATATTTTTTTAAAAACTGAAAAAAATACAAATTGAGCAAATCTATAAACATCTAAATATATTTTAAGACCGGGAAGTGATTTCATGCAACAGTTATATCATAGAATGATACAACCACGCTAATAGAAAATTATGTCTATGGTATTTGTATGACCCAAAACTTTACATACACACTCTCTTCATCTCAATAATCAATATATATATATATATATATATATATATATATATATATATATATATATGTACTACTATATAGTGTACTAATAGTACGTCCTACAACTAATAGTAACTACTACGTACTACTACTATTAGTATAGTTA